AAAGGGGCTAATAGAGAGAGCAGAGAGAAGGTTTATAGCGTGACACAGAAAGGGGCTAATAGAGAGAGCAGGGGGAAGGTTTATAGCGTGACACACCTATGTGCGGGGGGCGCGGTGGAGATAAAATGCTCTCACTACAGCACAGTCACACCTCAGGCAGACACACTCGGCCTAAGAGACACATGCCGCCCCGCTGATCTGCCCCTCACACCTGCGGTTGCTCCATGTGGCTCCCCCCCAGGTCGATGTAAACAGCGTCCTTGTCGTACACGACACCCCCAACCCCAGCCATGGGGGCGTAGAGCAGTCGCTCCTTTTGGTCCAAGGCGCGCTTCTTCTGCTCCTCAGGCAGGGGACACGGGTCAGGCAGGAAGCTCATGTCGCTCACGGCAAAGTCCCCCACACCTGCAGGGGGTGCACTCCGGTGAGCGGCTTACACCCCAACCAGTTTCACCACCCATCTCTCAATACTAAATGTCTCACATGTTTCCTTTGTACTATAATTCCTACACACACACATACACACTTTAAAAAAATGGAGAAACTGCCATAAGAAGACACGAGTGACAATGTTACGTCCGGGATTCCTTACCCGGAATGTGGACCTGGGTCTTGTTCTTCAGGTATGTCCCTCGCAGGTATCCATACAGGCACACAGTCCGATTGCATTTGGGGTCCACCCTCACAGCCTCAGGATCGGTCAGGTCCTCCATGCTGCAGAGATGAAGCAATTAAGTATTAAAGATCTGTACTGAGAGGAGCAGGGCAGATGCTACAGGGCGTACAGCAAGCAAGGAAACACGGCCCCGCCCACTCAGCCATCGGCCAGCGGGGAGGGAGACACAGCCCCGCCCCCTCACGGCTCAGCCAACAGGAAGGGAGAAAGATGGCCCCACCCACTCACGGCTCAGCCAACAGGAAGGGAGACAGATGGCCCCACCCACTCACGGCTCAGCCAACAGGAAGGGAGACAGATGGCCCCACCCACTCACCGGTCAGCCAGCACATAGGGGTGTGAGGTCTGCCACACAAGCGGCCGGAACTTCATGACAGAGATGAAGCGACCCAGGTTCCGCACCTCCTGCGTCTGGTATTCTCCATGCACCATACCAGACAGGTAGAAGAGCTTGGCCCCCTGTTCAGAGAAAGAGCAGATCCTGTACACCAGCACTGTCCCAATGAGAGCTAAAAACCTGTACATCCGTTGTGACCACAACACCCAATCAGAGCAAAGAACCTGAACATCAAGAGAGACTATATCGCCCAGCCAGAGCTAAGAACCTGAACACCAACTGAGGCTGCACTGCCCAGTCAGATCGGAGAGAACATGCATAACAGAGAATACCATCAGTGTCATACCTGGTACACCTCAGTCCAGAAGCGGTGCTTCAGGTGTTTTTTGGTCTTGCGCAGGGTTTTGGTGTTCCTGAAGGAGTCGAGGTGCGTCAAGACCCCCATGATTCGTGGGAAGCCGTGCACCTGGCAGATATTGAGGAACTCAAACGTCTCCATCTCGAACCCGAAGCTAGCATCGATCAGCATCAGGACCTGGGTAGGGGGATGGGGTCTTCAGCACTGCTCAAATTACACAGATACCAGTGAATCTAATGAGGGTCGTTATAGACCTACCAGATCAGCGACCTTAGCCAGGTCAATCATGGTGTTGATGTCATTTCCACACTCAACGAAGGTCAGACGCCGTTTCTTCCCTGCGTATAAAGCGACAGAGTCAGAGACCAAAGGACACCAGAGCTAGAGTGACCGAGGGAGGGGGGTCGGGGCGGCACAAAGCCAGATGTTCCCACCTGACACAATGGTCACAGGCCCACTGATGTCACCCAGCTTCTGCCGGGTGTAGTTCTTGATCAGGCAGCGGATGATGGTGCTCTTTCCCACGCGTGGCGGTCCTACCACCACCACAACGATTGGTGGGGGCTCCAGGGGCGTGCGGTCTACCAGGGGGATGTGGTGCTTCTTTGTCTTCAGGTCCTGGGTCCTGGAAAACACACAGAGAATATGACCTGAGACTGGTGCACACAGAGAAACAGGCAGCACATCCACAATGATAACAGAGCCTAAAACGGGCACCCGGTGCGCCACAAGCATTCTCCTGATGCGGCGCCTGCCCCCAGGGCAGTTACTGTACCCCCGTATGCCCTGTGAGAGGAACTGACCGGTGGAAGGTGCGGGCCATGCGCATGGCAGACTGCACTCCGAACGCTTTGGGGTTCCTCTTGCGCACATCCTTGTTCTCTGCAGCCCCCTTCTCCTGCTGCTTCCTCCTCTTCTTTTTCTCCGCCTTGGGCCCGCTTTGCTTGTGCTGGTGCCGCTTGTGCTCTTTCGTCTCCATCGTCCTTTGACAAACAAACCACGCTAGTCTGTGACTCGGGAAATTGATGTCAGGCGTATATGATTAATATAAAACGAAACCATTATGTATGACCGCGAACGCTTCAGAGGAAGTTCATAACTGCCCCATCCTACAATCTTCACAGCGTACTCCACCGAACCCTTCAGTCCTTTTGAAGCGGCTGCAGTTTTACCGAAGCCTTCTCATTTACTTATCAAGAAAGCTTCCCGCGTAGGTTACATATCCACCATATCGACGTAGAGAAGTGTACTCTCTTTAACTCAACAAGACTACGTTTAATTTCTCTACGTATACATCATGCAAAGGTACTATTTTTATTTCAGTGGTGTGTGAAGAGAACCAACGCGTATACCCACCAAAAATGAGTTTTAAAGGCGGGTTATGTTCGAATTATTACCTTCTGACTTCGATTTCTTCAGCAACCGAGGTTTAATCCCCCCCGCGGTCCAAGGACGTGTTGGGGTAAAGCGTTAAACAGCCGCCAAGCAGATAGCAACTTCATAAACATCGACGAACTGTTCACACGTGTGAAAGCTGCTTCCGGAAGTGGGTCCAGCAGTGTTTTAGTTCCGATGGGAATATTCGCCTGAGATCATAAAGTTCCGAAAATGTTAGCATATTATATTATATTATATTATATTATATTATATTATATTATATTATATTATATTATATT